AGATGTCAGAAGAAAATAACACGTTTCTCACGGTATCCAGATGGAATCTATCATATCAGGAATTAACAGACGAGGAATTATTCTTTTTACGATATTTTTTTTTTGTACTTTCCGTGAGAAATATTTTTGGGAAGATTTGATTGCGCCAAATTTTCAAGATTACTTTCGGCATTGCGTATTTCATGGAATTCGGAATTAGAAAATTTGCATAAACTTAGTCTTGCATATGGACACAGCAGTGAGTACCCAGTTAGGATAAAATTCACTTCATTAGCGTATCTGAGCATAATATTACCAGAATACGTGGTAGAGAGGAACTACTTTGTGTACAAGTTGAATATTTGAGATGTTTAGAAAAAGATATTTTGTAAACAAAGAGTCTGTTTGCTTGGGCTTGCGGTGCCGTGTCTCTAGTATCTTTGGTGTTATAACCTTTATTATTATAGTTTTTCATTCACGTCAACCGCGACAGACTTTCTTTCCATAATTTGTTTCCCCGTTTACTGTTCTGACGAGAGGGGACGAAACCAGTCGACTTGTGTTCGTGTTTTTAAAATTTATCATCGGCTTTAGTAAAGCATTTATTGCCTTTAATGCCATAATACGTTTTTGTACCGTTAATATATATATATATATATATATACTCTTTGAATCGTTATAGCTTATTCAATTTATGTATTTTGACTTGTAAATAAGATTAATACGAGAGAAAGAATACACATTTAAATAATTTGAGAGTAAAATATACAAAAAAAACAACTTTAAAACAATTAACTTTAATAAGATAAAAGTTACTTGGAGCAATGGCAGAATGTTCAGATAATGATGAGTTCACATGAAGTGCTCAAAATGGTTGCCGTTCCGTTCAATACACTTTTCATATCTTGATGAAATAGACCCACAAACGTCCAGAATCATTTCCCCTGGTATTTGAGCACATTCTTCTTCAGTTGCTACTCTCATTTCCACAATTGTTTCAGGTTTCCTGTTGTAAACTTTGTCTTTTGGAAACCCCCACAAAAAGAAATCCAAGGGTGTCAAATCTGGTGATCTAGGGGGGTATTGAACAGTCCCTCTTCTTCCAATCAATCTGTTTTGCATATTT